TCTGACGTACAGGGGGTTTGAAATTACATCTTTCAAGAATTTTCTGCGACAAGGTGTGTGGGGTTGTAGTTGTTTAGCCCTTGAGCTATTGTATCTGTTTACTTAAGGAGTGGCACTCAGATATTGGGCCAGACATTCACATATTCTTTTTTTCATCTTTTTCTTTTTTCTTTTTTTTTTTACTTGAATTTTTTTATCATATTATTTTTTCTTTTGTTTTTGCATTTGTACTATTTAGATGATTTCTGTAACAAAGTGCAAGTTTTTAACAAACCTTTTAATAGTACATTTTAAACTTTTTTTTGTACTTTTCTAGTTAATTTTTGAAATGTAGAACTGTATAAAATAAACAGTGATTAACCCATATTGTTTTCATGAACATCTGATGACTGATAGATACGAAAAAAGATTTTTTTTTTTGGCTTGGTAAGTTATATTTTCCTTTTGTTGAGAGGTGTTGTTCACCGACTTCACTATACCGTAAAATCGGTATGTTTGAGTAGCGGCCACCAGCAACAAGCGTTGTGTTATATCCAGAAAATGGAATTGGAGCTTACGATCGATTTGTTGTTCAAATGATGATGATGTAGCGAAATAAAAACATCTGCAGTTGCAAAACTGGTATGGAAGACAGGACCTCAAGTCAGTAGTTTGAGATGCAATAATGGCGAAATTGATAACATACCCAGAGTGAGCTTTTTTTTTTTTTTTTTTTTGATCAAAGTTTGTTTGGAGATGATTATCCGTTGCTGTTTGATCGGGAAGTTATAAGCGAGTGGAACGTTGTTAACGAGTATTAGCGTCAAGGTGTTAAGTGTACTTTAAATGAATTTACTGGCGTTTGCTGATTTTACAAACAGTTTTTCGTCAAGCAGTTTAGAGCAGTTTTATTACATGATGATGAATTGTTGAATAAATTCATTCGTTCTTTTCTCACCCGAATTGCCGCTGGTCTACAAAATTGCTGTTTTGGAAAACAAGTGGTGATACTTTTTAGCAATCTTCTTTCCAGTGTAGTGTGGTTTTTTTTTTTTTTTCTTTTGCTCTTCACTTTATCCTTATTGTTTAGCTTATTGTTTAGATGAATGAGCGAGAAATTGGATAGTTTTTTTTAAAACAATACAAACTTGGTTTTTAGTGGCAAAAATTACTTGTGTTTTTGGCAGCTTACCTTGTTGCCTGAGTTTTTTTTTCTTATTCTTTATGTACAAGCACTGTTTTTAGAAGAGGCAAGCATTTTTTTTTGTAGTAACTCTGAATACAATTAGATAAAACAATATGTTGGTGCATATGCCATGCTGTTGCTGGTACTTTCTTTTTTTTCGGAGAAAATATCTTAAACATCTAATGGACG